TGAGTAAATGGTAGAGACACTATTCAAACCCAGGTCTCTGAATTCTAAGTCCATTCAGTGTTGCATTTTACCACAGTAGTGCTGCTCAGGGCTAAAATTACAGAAACTCTGAGAGTCTTCCCCTCTCAAATTGGTATCTTTGTGATAGTAAACTGTGATAGCTTTTGTTTCAATTCTTACTTAATCTTTAGTCATTAGCTATGCTACGTTAAGGCTGAAAAGGCAGAATTCCAGCCAAGAGAACAGAGCTCTATCTTCTCAAATATTTGGATGTCTCTGGTAGTGAAGAGGCATGGTGAACAGAGTATTAGACTTGGAGTCAGAAAGAAGAAAATTCAAATCCTGCCTCAGACACTAGCTGTGTGAACCTGGACAAAGTAATTATTGCCTCAGCTTCAGTTTCTTTGCTTGTAAAAGGGCTATAATAATTGCACCTACCTAATATCCTTCTTTTAAGGACTAAATTAGATAACAATTGTTAGATAAATCTCAACTATCATTGGTCTATGAAATGCTAGTTTGCATGTTAACTACCATGTACAAAACCTGTCTACTTCCTTTCAGTTTCTGATAGTATAGAGCCTCTTGGTACATTCCTCCATCAGGTTGTCAGGGTGTGGTTTCCTTATTTGATCTGAAGTTTCTGAATTTTCAGTCTGTCAGGCACACCCAAATTCAAATGTGCAATGTGCCTTCAAATGTAAATTATTTTCAGATCCCACATTTCATTCTCTTATTCTGCCTCTACCCCTCATTATTTTATTCTGTCGTTTTTCAGTCGTGTCCTGCAATTTGTGACCCCATTTGGGTTTTTCTTGGCAAAGATAATAGAGTGGTTTTGCCATTTCCTTCCCTAGCCCATTTTACAGATGAGGAAACTAAGAGAAACAGATTAAGTGACTTGCCCAGAGTCACTCAGCTAGTGAGTATCTGAGGCCATATTTGAATTCATGAAAAAGTATTTCTGACCCCAGGCCCAGCACTCTATCCACTGTGACATGTTGCTGTCCCACTCACTGTTACCATGTATTAACAAACACATAGTATTGTGCATTCACATGTGGTTTTGTCAGCTCTACATATATACAGAATGGCACTATATTTCTCCAGTATTGTCAGAGAACGAGTCATTTCACAAAAGTGAATTGCTCAGATTACTGAAACTTACTTCTTTAATCATCACTTTTTTAAAAAGTAGACTTGATTTTTTGCCCAGTGACTTAGGTCATTATGATTAATATCAGTTACTTTATGGTGCTTTAATACAGTGATGCCCTTGCGCACTGACATTATGTTTCACTGACCTCTGCATTGGTATCCTCCCTTTGTAGGCAGCAATGACATCAAACTGCTAGCAAAATGCCTTGTTGTTTCTAATTTATTGACTTATTTAGACCACAAATGTTTGGCAGGGCTGAAGGACTTTAGAGCCTTCATGTCTCTCTTTAGGAGCAAAGTGCTTTTAATTTATTATGGATCTTTTTGATGTTCAGAGATTTGCCCTGGTTTCAACTAATTCACAGTTGGGATCTGAGGTATGCAACACAAGACCCTGCATTTTGGTCTGGTCATTCATATGTAATGCAATCTATAGTCTTTTCAGCTTTGTAACAGATTTGTATTTATTATTTTTGTAGTGTTTTGTCAGTCCAATATTAAACATTTTAGGCATTGAAGCTTTTACTTCTTAGAGTGGCATAGAATAGCAGATACATCACCAGGCTTAAAACCAGGAAACTTGAGCTTGAATTTTGCCTTCAATATTTAAAAGTTCTGTGATTATGGCCAAGTCATTTCAACTGTCAGAACTTTAGCTTTCTCATTGCTAAAATAAGGATAGCAATGTTCAAATTACTGATCTCACAAGGTTGTTGTGATATGATGACATAGAATTTAAAAAAAAGCTTTGTAGACAAAATTAATCAAGATAAATTAAGAGAAACTACAGAATGGGAAAATATTTGCATCAAATATTACTGATAAAAGAGTGCTATACAAGTTAAAGGGGGATATCTTGATGGCTTAGTGGATAAAGTTCTGGGCCTGGAGTAAGGAATACCTAAGTTTGACCTCAGACATTTACTAGCTATGTGACCCTGGGCAAGTCACTTAACTTTTGTTTGCCCAATCTACTGGAGGAGGAAATGTCAAACCACTCCAATATCTTTGCCAAGAAAACCCCATGGACAGTATGGTCCACAGAGTCATGAAGAGCTGGACGTGACTGAATGACAAAAATACAAGATATATACTGAATTGAAACCACCACACAAAAACAGTCATTCTCTGATAGGTAAGTAGTAAAAGGATATGAATGAACACTTTTCCAAAGAAGAATTTCAAATCAATCAACTGCTATTTATGGCCTTTTAAAATTGTTTTGATGTATAACTTGGGATTATGCAGTAAAAGTCACTAAATTCTCCATAACCTTTGTTTCATTTATCCCAATATTGGAAATATAATCCAAGGAGGTCTAACATGGAGGTAAAATATATACTAAAATATTCATAGCATCACTGTGTGTGTGTGTGTGTGTGTGTGTGTGTGTGTGTGTGTTAAAAACAAACAAACAAAAACCCCAAAAACCCTTAAAACAAATTAGGTGTCTAGCAATTGGAGAATAGTTGACTAAACTGTGGCATATGAATATAATAAAACATTATTGTAATATAAGAACTGTTCAGTTTGAGGAACTCTGAGAAACATGAGGAAACATATGAAAGAATGCACAGTGGAATAAGCAGAATTAAGAGAACAATAAACACAATGATTATTTCAAGACACCATTCTTGGTCCAGGAGAAACAATAAAGAAACACACCTCCCTTCTCTCAGGATAGAGTCAGACGACTGTGGGTTGGGAATATAGTATACACTGTCATAAGACAACTGCTTCATTCACTCCTTCACTTATTTTTCAACAAATATTAAGAATTTTCAGTATGCCAGACACTAAGACAAAAACAAAATAATCTATGTCCTGTCACAAAGCAGCTTACCATCTATTGGATGGGGTTGTAAATTGGATGTGGGATTAAAAAGTTAAATAAAAACACATATGTTCAAATTAAATGGAGAGTAATCTGGAGAAGGGGCACTAACAAGGTTGGTTGAGGGGGAGAGATGACCAGGTTAGGCTTCCTGTAGGACATAACATCTTTAAAGGAAGCTGCATACTCTTTGAGGTGAGAATGGGAAAGGGAAATGTATTCATGGAAAAGGGTGGTGGAATGTTGTGTGAGAAGAGCAAATAGACCAGTTCAGCTAGAAGGTAAAGTGTTGGAAGGAAGGTAAAGTGTAGACAAAGTAGTTGGTGAAAAGCTTTAGATGCCAAATGAAGGAGTTTTTATTTTAGCCTAGAGGCAATTAGAAGCTCCTGGAGCTTCCTGATATGATCAGAACTGTGATTTAGGAATATCAAATTTTGACAGATATAAAATTAAATGCTATATCTTTTTTTTTTTTTGCTTTTTGGTGAGGCAATCAGGGTTAAGTGACTTGCCCAGTGTCACACAGCTAGTAAGTGTTAAGTGTCTGAGGCTGAATTTGAACTTGGGTCCTCCTGATTCCAAGGCCTGAGCTCTCTTCACTACACCACCTAGCTGCCCCTTATCTTTTTTTTTTTTAAAGAAAGGATCTAATCAGAGGGTAAGAGGGTCAAGTTTAAGGAGAAATCATGTTAATCTTAAAGCAAACTATAATAAAAATTTATTTTAAAAATAATATCAGTAGAGACACCATCATATGCTTTTCCAAAATCTGTATCCATAGTATTACTGTGGTCTATCAATTTAGTTACTCTGTCAAATAAGGAAATAAGCTTAGTCAGGCAATGCCTATTCTTGATGAAGGTATACTAGCTTCTTTGTGAAAATTGTTTTATTTTATAATATCCATTAATTATTCTTTGATTTAATGTGCACTAGAATTTTCCGAGGTATCAAAATCAAGTTCATTGACCTGCAATTGGTAGATTCCATTATCTTCCCTTTTAAGAAAATAGAGACAAGTTCTTCTGATATCTCTACTGTTTTCCAATACCTTTCAGAGATTTTTGACACAGGCTCAGCAGCAATATATGCCAAAGGATTAATCTAGTGGGCTCCTTATTTAGTTGCATGTAAAATTCTGGGAAATATGCATTTTCGAAGTTCACTTTTTCTTTCCTGGACGCAAGGCTATTTCAGTCTACGGCCATTACCAAAAGTGGAATGGGAAGCCTTGGAAGGTGGTATATTTCCCTGTAATAGAAGGTTTTGAATCAAAAAATAGATAGATGATCGCTTACTTAGGTGCAGAGAGGACTCTTGTTCCCCTACTGGTTGGAATAACAACCTGGGCCTATGAGGTCCCTTCAACTTCTAAGATTTCATGATTCTCTGACTCGGGTGGAAGGCATAGATTCTGTGACTTCAACTTTGAGGCTGAAGACTTCAGTCTTTATGTAGACCACAGTTTGAACTTTTCCAGTTTTCTTTGTAATTCGATGCTGACATAAAAGTAGAATTCAGTCCAACACCTTCCAACAGCACACTTCTATGTTTTTCGATACATAAATTACTTTCCCATCTTTCTTTCTTTTTTTTTTTTTCTCCTGGGCTAGATTTGTGATTTCATCCAGGGACGGAACTCCTTCCACAGATGCAGCTTAGCAACTTATCTGTGGCTTAAGGTCTTGGAAAGTTGCCTAGGACACTGAGATTCGAAATTTATTCTCCTAAGGTTTCACATCTAGTATGTGCTCTGAGGCAGAACTCAACCCAGGTCTAACTTGCTCCTAAGCAGCTTCTGTAACTGAGACTGCCTCTTTTCCTTAACAATACTGCAGCCCTCCTACGCAGCAAATTGCGAAGGTTGGGGTCATCCTTCCTGCAGGCATCAGTCTGTCTGCACCGGTGCCTCAGCCAAAGACCCCGGATGCGTCGAAACTCATGGGGTCCCCGCGGCGCTTCCGAACCCCAGCGCGAGGCGCCTCGGCAGCCCCCGCCCCCTCTTTGCCCAGCCAACGCCAACGCCAACGCCAAAGTCCAAGCCAGCGCCGCCACGTCCCCCTCCCTCCCCAACTCCCCCTGACATGGACACCAGCAAGCTCCGGGCTTTTGTGAAATTATGTCAACAAGACCCTGCCCGACTATACAGCGAGGAGCTGCGCTTCCTGAGGGAGTGGGTGGAGAGCTTGGGTGGGAGGATACCCCCCACTCCAAGAAAGATCAGATCAGAGGAAAGATTCAAGGGAGGGGAGGCAGAAAGAAGGAAATGGGAGGAATCCAACAGAAGAGAAGACATCGAAACTGAGGAAAGTGATCTAGAACTTGATAATGAAGGAGTGATTGAAGACTACATGGACGGCCCTCAGGAAATGGGAGATGCAACTGCAGAGGTAACGGATGAGATGATCGATCAGTCCAACGAGATGAAGGTGAAAGGCCTCGATGCCCTACATAATGGTGAATACCAGAAAGCCCTTGAACTATTCACAGAGGCCATCAAATTGAATCCTTGGTTGGCTATTTTATATACCCTAAGGGCCAGTATCTTTATTGAATTGCAGAAGCCAAATGCTGCCATCAGAGATTGTAGCAAGGCAATTGAGCTGAACCCCCATTCAGCTGAACCTTACAAATGGAGAGGAAAAGCACACAGACTTCTGGGCCACTGGGAGGAGGCAGGCCAGGATCTGTCCTTGTCTTGTAAACTGAAATTTGATGAAGATGCCAATGCTGTGCTTAAGGATATTCAACCAAGGCTCCAGAGGATTCAAGAACATCGGCGAAAAAAAGAGCTCCGCCAGAAGAAATGTGAGCAGAAACGTGAAGAGAGAAAGTACAGAGAAAGGATGGAAAGAATGAGGAAGGCTCGAGAGGAGTATGAGAAAGCCAAAAAAGAGGAAGAAGATAGGAGAAAGGCAGCTCACTTGGCCCCTTTCCATTTTTTTCTTGGAGAACTTCCTAGAATGAGAAGGAGAATGCGTACTATACCTGGGAAATCAGTGCTCAATGAAATTCTTAGTGACCCAGAAATCCTTGCCGCTATGCAAGATGCAGAAGTCATGCAGGCATTCCAGGATGTGGCCCGGTATCCAGAAACTATGGGCAGGTATAAGAACAACTCAAAGGTTATGAATTTCTTCAGCAAACTGTCAAACAAATTTGGAGGGTATGAGGACGACGTGACAGGTGAAGATCTGGAGCCCGATGAGAAATTCGATGAAATTCCCAGTGAAGATAGCTTTGAGGTTGTGGATCCATCTAATGAGAATGATCGCTGGCTCCCAGGACAGCACTTTGACGATTATCTCAGCAACTATGAACGAAGACGTTTGAGGAAAGGGAGGAGTCAGGTCTTGGAGGTTGTATCTAGTGAAGAAGAAGTGCGCAACAGGCGGCTGCCCTTTTATAAGGATTTGGAAGAGCTCAGTGATGAACAGTAAGGTGGGACGTGAGGCCTAACAACAAATACTAAAGAAAAAACCCCCAAAACAAAAAAGAAACCAAACAACAAAAAATAACCCCAGACTGGTGCCATATCACTCCTGTACAGTGGACTGCTGACATACACCAAACGCAGATCCTGCTGTCAGTAACTATATCATATGGCCCCCCCTCCTTTAAATGATAGTTCCTGCTCTTTCCTCCCAAGTTCCATTGTGTATTGCTCCTTACTTCACAAGCTATTTAGGAGCTTTATAAGCGTACTTTGCGTAAACAATGGGATTTATAAATATATATTTATTTCTTTTTGAACAAAATGTGACTGAAAAAATCATGACTTCCTACTAAGCATCCAATTTCCACATTATTTGGAAACAACTTTCTGAATTTCAAATGTTTGCCTTTTGAATCCAAGGAACATATTTGTTTTCCTCTTTAGAGTACCAGGCATATAACTTATGCAAAATAGTCTTGGACTATCTAGGGAGAAAGAATGAATTACCATTCCTAACCTTCTTGATCAAAATGAAAAGTCAGACTACATACATATACTTGTTTGCGAGTCACTGGAGAAAATCTCTGTTGATCTAGCTTAATTTGTAAGGTATATTCTTAAAAGAGCAGAAGTTATTGATGATGTCTGATAGGATTCCAGTCAGGAACTGGGGCCAAAGACATGTTCTGCATTGGGCTTTGGGAGTAGACAGCTCATTCCTCATTGAATGTCAAAGGGCAGCAATTCACTGAGGGCAGCTCCCGGTGATAATGTTCATTTGACCCAAACAGCAACACTGAGGTTCATCTTTCCATTTGCTTTTTGTTTTGTTTTGTTTTCTGGGGGATGTTTGTGCATTAGAGATTTCTGTTGAAGGTAAAAAGTGTCTGCAAAATGTGTTAGTCCATATTAGATGGTGATAATGCAGTGGCTGCATTCATAAGGAAGGAAAGGCTTTGCTCTGTGAAGTACTCTAAATCTCTTAATCTCTCTAACATGGATATGTTTACTTAGTGTCCCTTACCTATGGGATACAGTTGTACTTCTTGCTTAAGATGATACCTTTGGTACCAGGGGGAAAAAATGGACTATCACACAATTGTAAAATGAAAATTGGATATCCTTTTTTCAGTCATATCAATTTCAATAAAGTAAAAGCTGACTGGTTACTTCAATATTATTGGTTGTACTGGATCCTTGTGGGGACATATCTACCCACAAAAGCACAGACTTAAAATATATAATCATGTTATTGATAGAAGTCTGCTATGGTAGATAATTTCAGATATGGTAGAATTTCAGATAACTGTTCATAATTAGATAATATGCTAATAATCAACACTTCTACTGCATCAGCAGGTCACAATACAGCAAGGCTAACACACAGGGCTTCATCCCTCCATAAGGCTAAGCTTGGTAAATTGGGCAGTTATGATTGTTCAGGAGTAAAAGGCTGGGCCGAACGACTGTGGATGAACAAATGTCCATTCTAATAGGATGGAGGAGAGGGAGCTTGAAATAGGATTTCTCTGGCTCTGACTCCGAGAAATTAAAATAAAGGATGGTGGTAGAGTTAATCCATTGGGTTAGCATAGTAATGGAAGAAGAGTCTTTTCCATTAGATAAGGCAGGCTGGTTAATTAAGTTTATGGACAGGAAATATCTGTGGATAGGAGGAATTAGAAAAGCAGAAATGATAGGTATCTGTAAAAGTAGAGGCTGGCATTAGATGATCTCTGAGATAGTTACTCCACCATCTTCTTGTCACCATCAGCAAAAGCATGGATATCCCTAGTCCACTTTCATCATATAGACGAGTCGGGTTTAGAAGGGGAAACAGATTTTTGAAGATTGTCTCTTTCATTATGAGGAGATGCCAGAAGATAGTGGGCAAAAGGACTAGACCTGTCCACAATTTGTTTGGTTTCTTGTCAAAATGATCTAGGGGGAAAAAAAATAACACTTAGAATGAGGTTTGCTTCTAAACCCAGATGTTATTCAGTGCTTACCTTTGTTGGTAAAGTAAGGTTATACATAATAGATTTTCATTTCTCTTATTTGCAAATATCTGTAAGTTTGGAGACAAAGTTCTATACAGGATACTTCTCATGATACACAAGGCCACCATAACTTGAATATATCAAAACCATCTTCTATTACTTAGAGACAGTATGAACTCCCCAGAAATTGTATTGTACAAATTTCATTTTAAAAATGAACCTATTATAATAAGACAAATCACCTGAAAAGAAATGAGAGAAGAACTGAGTCTAGCTTCCATCTCATCAGTAGGAAAGTAGATATGTCAAGTGTTTTGTGCTTTCCTTTTAAATGAGAATTGAAAAAGAGCAAAATGAAAAGAATAAAAACAGTGTTTCTGCCAATTATTGTCATAATCTCGAGCAGACAAAGAAACTCCATGCACATTGCATTTGCCATGACTGGAATTTTTTTTTTGAAGAGGATGTTTTTGTAAAAATTTGCTTCTTTGGCTTTATTTAAAAAAATATGATTTAAAGAAGAAATAGGAAATAGCTCATGACCTTCAGACTTATTGCGTATTTTCAACATTCTGGGAGCACATTTTACTTTTAATTAGGGCTCCTTTAATAATGGAAATAATCTAATCTATGTCACAATTGACAGTGCTACTATGTAAGTGATATTTTGCATTGACAACATCCTGTAGTGTAGGGATTCTAAATATTAGTTATATATATGCGTGTATGTGTGTGTGAGAGAGATGTGTATATGTAATTGTCAAACATGTTCATGCATGTCCATGTAGATACATGAACAATATGCATGTATGTATACATGTCTACATGTATAATATATGCTCTTTATATATAAACTTAAGTTTAAATATAGATATCTACATATTTGTTAATATACAATTATAGCTATTTTATATACTCAAGTTTGTATAACATATAAATATATGTTTATATATCTAAATAAAATATTTTATGTTTCTCATATCCAGTATTTAGAACTCCAGCACTACAAGATGTCTTCGGTGCAAAACATCACTTACAAAGTAATATTGTCAGATATAATATAAATATTTAAATGTAAATATAAGCATAATGCAAACATATTATAGATAGCTCTCTATGGTATATAAACTTGAGTTTGTGTATTTACTTAACTATATAACTAGCATATAATATCTTCTAGATAATATACAATATAAATTAACATATAAACATATAAGGACCTGATGTTTTGAACCCCTACATTATAGGATGTTATCAGTGCAAAACATCACTTGTATGGTAACACTATTAGTTGTATTGCAAATATGGTATATATAATACTATAGATATCTATAGAGAGATAGTATATATGTATATATATGATTAGATATATTACAGTGTGCATATACACACATATACAATACATGTACATACATACTGCATTTCAATACAATTAGTTTAATTTGTAATCTTATTTTTTTCATAAATTTAAAATTATCATTCTTTGAATCTATGTAAGGGTCCATGGGCTTCACCAGATTGTCAAAGGTGGGGGTGGGGTGTCAAATAACCAAAAGAGGTGAATAACTGCCAGGAAAATGATTTGTCTGTAATGTTGGAGTCATAGGCTCCTGCTTGATGCATAAGATACCACTTCGCAAGGCTTTCCACTTCTTTTACTTTTGTGGCCCCCATTCAAATGAACTGAGAACTTCAATATCTTGCAAATGTTCTCTGTTTTCCAGCTGTGTCCTTATCAACTTCCTTTACAATTACATAAGTTCACAAGGCTCAGAAGATGAACCTTTATTTTGTGGCAAGAGGAAACCACTAGCGCTCCCATCAGATCCCAAAGGAAATAACTATCAGTAAGCAAACCTCCCTAGGGGCTTGAATAACATCAGACACATACATGGTCCACATAGAAAATATTCCCTCTGTTTCTCTCTTATGTGACTTCTCATATTATATCTTCAACTGAGGTCTTTCATATTCCCAAGATTCCCTTTCAAGGTTCTTCTGGATATCAGTATAATGTGACTCAAGTCTACAACTCTTTAGTAGATAGCACTGGTCATCGTTGGCTACATACAATCATGGAACCTCTTTTAAATGCTCATCTCAGTGTCAAAATCCATCTCAACCATTCTCAAAAGGACTCTGTCTTTTTTTTCCCCATCTGCTTTCTGCTTACAATGAGAGCACTCAGGAATCTTATGCCACACAGGTGACACTTAATCTCAAAGGTAGGAGGAAAACTCCTTGTGCTCTTTTGTCTGAACTAGAAACTGTGGGACTCCATGGCTTTGGCTGCAGCTCCAGTGTAACAATACTCTTAAAGAATCCTTCCAGGCAATGCTCCCATGCTCTAACTTTTAGATAGCTTCTCTTTGATGGGATTATGGGTGAGAAAGAGGAGGCAGTCTTCTGTGAAAGTCTTGTAAGGCTTCCTCCTCAACACCCCTACCAGCTGGTTCTTGTTGTCCACCCATGATGATGGATTGGCTCCTTCCTCAGCCTTTTCCCTCCTCTCAGCCTCCCCATGTCTCTGTCTGGAATTTTCTTTCAGAAATGTAAGTTACAGAATATGTAGCAATCTATATTGTAAGAAGGATTTTCCTCATCAGTTCCCTATTCAGTTAGCCAATAAATATTTATTAAACACCTACTATGTGACAGTCATTGTGCTAAGCCAGGAAAACAAAGGCAAAAGACAATCCCTGCTCTCTCAGAGCTCACAATGTAATGAGGAAAGACAAAATACAAAAAGGAATATGAAGGGGGAGGAGATAGAGAAGTAGGTGGGAAAGTGTGATAAAGTTGAGAGAAACACATCCAGGTAGGAAATTAAGAGTGGGTGGTCCAGGTGATCTTTTTAAAAATGGAGGTTCTGAGAGGATCCCTATAATCTCTGTCCTCACTCTAGTCAGAGGAAGGAAGGTCCCTGAGGCAGGGGGAACTAAGGAAGTATATGTTCTAGAGTCGATGTGATCTTACAGGATGATGAGGTTCCTCAGAGCTTGATGAAGTGCATAGCAGGGTGGGAAATGAATATACCAAAGTATCCACTGTTTCAGTGAAATCATAGGTCCAGCTTCTAATCTATAGATACATAAAAACACACATGGACAAGCTACATTTTTCATTCAATTTGATATGATATTCTAGACTGGGTGGTGTTAAAGTCATAGACTCCTTTGGCAATCTGATAACACCTATGGATCCCTTCTCTGAATAATGTTTTTAAATGTATAAGATAAAATATATAGAATTACAAAGGAAACCAAATATATTGAAATATACTTATTGAGCTGTATTTTTAAAAGTTCATGACCCCAGATTAAGAACCCCTATGTAG